CGAGGCTGAAAGGAGAATAGTATTCTGTTTCTTCCAAACATTTGAAAAAAATTAATTTTTAATATCTCCAAACAATTATACGGATTTTAGTAAAAAAATCCTTTTTATTAAACAAAAAGTTACAAAATATTAAATTTGTAATTTTTCCTGCATTTTGTACTAAGGTAAAGTGGGGTAAGTGCAGACTGGTTTTTGTAAAGTTAGTATTTAAACGTAAGTATTTTCAGTATGCTATGTAAATACTTAACGCTGTCGATATCGAACACTTAACACAATTACTACTATTTAATTAATATTAACTAGGACCTTAATTTTCCTTGTGCATTTTGATTTTGATAGGAAATTGTTTAAAATGTCAACTACTCCGCACTTTCCCCGAAAATGGGGTAAGAGCGTAACTTGAAATAAAAATACTTTGAAACTATTTCATGTGCGATGGGGCAAGAGCAGAATTATTAACAAATCTGCTATAAAATACTTTTTCCTGCATTATGCAAATACTCTAAACTGCAAAAAAGTACTCTTAGCTGAAATATAAAAGGGGATATAGTGAAACAAAACAAGGAAACAAACAGTAAATGGAGAAATTTGGCTGATATTGTAATAAACATAGTCTGTATACGCACTTGCCCCGTTTACGAACTTACTCCACTTCACCATATATGAATTCTTTAGACTTAATAAAATGTCCAAATATTAATATGACATGAAAATGTGATAGGTCATTGTTTAGGATGTATTACACATTAAAATGTTACAGTTGAAAAGAAATGATAAATAAATGATTCATGTTTCTGTAAAATAACCAGTATGCTACATAAATCCCTTTCTATGTACAATAACAAGTACGAAATGTACTGCAGAAATAATAAAGATGAACTTGTATTTGATGTTCCTTGTTTCCTGAAAAAGTTGCTATTTATTTTCGAATATTTCTGTTCCCCATAATGAAAGTCGCTGTTTGTTGCCTGTTTCCGTTTATGACAGAACATAAAAGTTAAAAAGCAAATAAGAAATACGCAGAGAAAACAAACGTTCCTTTACTTTGTACGCCGGATTCAAAACGTGCTGGAACGCGTTAACACAGACTACACGTTATTTTATTAAAATACCTGAAATAGTAAAGTGAAATAATAATCAAATTATTAACCTCTTGGACTTTACCGTGTCTGACTCGTGATGCACTCAGTTCAAATACGACAAATGACATCAATTTAAAGTTTGGGTCTAATTATAATTTGTATGGCCAAGGCTGAATATAAAATATTTACATTTTCATTTGTTCGTTTTAATATTAGGTATAGCTATGAATAAATTATACGGGAAGGGTTAATGTGTCCAGGTTTAAATTTGACATACCAAAGGCGCACCCATTGACTGTCACACCCACAGTTTTTGCGCTTTTCTTTTTCATCATTGATCACGATAAATACTATAACCTCATTTATACTTAACCTCTTCCCGTGCCATTTATTTATCAGATGCGTCAGTTAAGAGTAACTAATCCGAGCTATAACATTAAACCGAACAAAGAAAATTAAAATGTTGTGCGCATTTTATATTTAGGAATCCTTGATAATGCAACTTATAGCTGCACCTAAATTTCAAGTTCAAGAGTATTCAAAATTTGAGTAAGGTTTGTCACATTTGAGTAGTAAGTGCGTCACGAGCCAGACTCGTCAAAGTACGGAAAGAGTTTAACGTCGTCACCGTAACGTAGGATAGTTAAATAAAATACATAATATACGAAAACTTTTCTCAATTTGTCTCCGAATATACAGGGTGGGGCAATAACTATTAGCACCTTAAATATTTTCGAATTTATAAGGTCCAGAGAAAAATTATTATAACTAAAATGGTACGATACGAAGAAGTCTATTATATAGCGATAATAATTTTTGTCTAAGTGGAGACGCTTCAGAGATATGAAGGTCACCTGTCGCTTTTTAACTGGAACGGTATGCTTTTTTACCTACATTTTGATAGAGTATTTTAAGGTGGATATAATGATCTATTGGAAAGGTCATTCATGGTCTGAGTTAAGCCAATTGGGATAGAAAATAATTTACTTCAAGGAAATGGTCGAATAATCTCTGTCTCGTAATCCCTTGTTATGGTTTGCTGAATAGAAATAAACTTTGAATTACGCTGTACACTTAATCTGTACATACTATTAGTCGTTTATGAGAATCTCTGCCGAGCGATGCGAAGCTCAAGTTTCAAGAAAAAGTAGATATGGTTTCTTTTCATGTGAGGCTTTCACGTTGCATCAACATCGAGGTCTTTAACGACGACTCCTGTGTTGATTTTATATCTTATGGAATAGATTGGTTTGTTTGAGGAAATCTATGGTGTTTCTTATGTGTTTTTCTGACGTAAAGGCGGTATTTGGATTAATTTCGAATTAATTGTACCCAATCGTTGGGTACAATAATTTTGGCAAGAAAAAAAGTGGTCTACTGTGAACAAGGTTTCACGACACATGGGTGGGTCTATCTTTTTTATAAGAAACTCGTGCGTCATTCTGCAGTGGCCAGTTCTCAGGCGGGCGAGGACTATTCTTTCCTTCCTGTTCATGAGATTTCGTGTCTTGGAAAAAATTTGAAATAACTCTGTGTATTTTGGTCAGTTTGAAGTTCCATATGTTGTTCCATTCTTCCTGGATTTTCACTTTTTGATGGTGAATGATTTCCTGATATGGGATAGGTGTTGGCTGGTGCTCCAGATATGGTTTTTGTTTATGGGAATTGTCGACAAATTGTAAGAGGTGGAGTCTGTTCGTATGCTGAACGTATGTAGTCGTGTATTATTGTCAAATAAATAAATCAAGAGTGCTTGACCATTTCCTAAAAGTAAATTTTCCATCACAATTGGCTTGACCCATACCATGAATGACTTTCTCTATAGATCGCTGTATTCTCCTTGAAATATTCTATCAAAATGTAAGTAAAAAACACACCGTTCTATTTAAGGAACAGAGGTAACCTTCATATCTCCGAAGTGCCTCCATTTGAACAAAAATCATTATCGCTCTATAATAAAACCCTTCATGCCGTTCAATTTTGGTAACACTAATTCTTCTCTGGACCTTACAGATTCACAAATATTTAAGATGTTAATAGTTATTTCCCTACCCTGTATATTTTCTTGCAGAGAGTACAGATAGCATATTACTATTCCACAATCATAGACTACGTTTCCATCGAGGGTTCAAATCGGGTCAGAATCGGGTTAGAGTCGGGTTGAGGTGAGCGCTTTTACGGTGGAAACACCAAAGGTTTAGTTGAACTCTACCCTATAAAATTTTAGGGTAGCCTTCAATTGAGGTTCGGTGGAAACGACAAGAGTCGAGTTCGTGTTGCCAACATAACAAATTCAAATTGCATTGTGTATCACGTGCTGTATTAATCGGTGTAGAAGAGGTTATCACTACTTTTTATTGGTGATCTTATAATCTGAGAAATAATTTTTGTATGTTATTTTGATATTGTAAAATTAATATTGCTTTCCTTTACATGTCAGAATATGGTAGTTGACTTTGTGCAGTTGGTAATGTTCAACCCAGCCGCAACTCCAACCTGCAACTCAAACCCGACTCTAACCCGACTCTGACCCGATTTGAACCCTCGATGGAAACTTAGACATATAGAGAGTGGAAACTGAAAAGTTTGCGTTTGAACGTTTAAATGCAACTGACAAGTTAATATCAAATATAGATACAATCGTTTTGTACAATTCTATTCACTCGAATATCTCTTTTCACCTAAAAATGGAAAAACTGATAAAACACACGAATACGCGAAATAAAACAGAACTGGAAGTTTGTAAAAAGTGAGGTTAAAAAATAGTTTACAAATTATTTAAAATGTACGTTAAACCTTTCTTTTACGAATAATTATATTTTTAATCATTTTTAACGAATTATCAAGAAATTACTTGTCTCATAACAAGACAAAGCTACTTCAAAAATTCTAAAAGTATCTACACCTCTGAATGTGATCTGCGTATGACATGTCATTTACTTTTGTTATTGTAAAAGAATACGGTATTACGCATAAGAGTGATACATTGTAGTGTTGTATATTACGCATAAGAGTGATACATTGCAGTGTTGTATGTTATGCATAAGAGTTATACATTGTATTATGGCGTGACCGGTGGCGGGCATCGAGGCCACCCGAAATTCCTAAAGATGATCAGCATTTGTCATTGACGTTGTCGGTGGCAATGACGGTTGAAAAAACAGGACAATCGATTGAAACCTGTCGCGACGTGCCGTTGCTTTTTATTAAAATATATACAGATTATTAACTTTTTATCTATAAACGAATATCAGCCTTTTATTTTATTCATCCTGACAAAAACTCTTACATTATTTACTTGTTTTGAAATGTTATTCATTTTTTTCCGATTCGGTGGCGGTAACGTCTTATACAAATTCACTTAATTCTTTCATTATTACTCAAAGTTTAAAATGTGTATATAATTTGTTACTACGAATAAATGTAAAGATTCTGTTACTTCGACCTTGCCAATCTCATCCTGTAAACTGGTATCTTTTAGAACTTCCAACTAGTATAGTTCTGAAGTGGATCATTCAAATTGCGTCGATAAATTTTTTCCATTTTATACTTTTTTGTAAGATTCCCAATCAAACAACTATCAATTTGTATATTTATGTGTACTGACTATATTTTTTCGATCATACTCTTTTACTACCAAAATCAGTCTGCATAAAACATAAAACAGTTATTTGATTATAACTTAATTTAGTATTAAACAGTTACTCTGTGTTATGAAAAAATTATTACTCTGTGTTTGACAAATATATTCGTCACCGTTTCATTTTTATCATAATTTACGTACAAGTTCTATAAAGAGGTCATCACAGTTACTTGATTAAATATACGTACAAGTAAGCATTACATATGTCGATAAGAAATCAATAAAGAAACGCGTTTACGGAACAATATTATTACGATGTGTAAGCAAAAAATTACCTTGCCACATAGATACAACTCAGGTAAAGGTTCCATGTGGCTATTGTGACCATGAGGACTAGGAGTAGGTGGTGAACTTTGGGGTGGTGGCATCCATTGGCCTCCTAGGTAAAGCTGACTAGGACGTTTCAACCTTTTTTCTTGCCGTTTTCTTTCGTGGCGGACTGCCACCGCAGGCATCGCACCAATCATCCTACAAAAAAGATCATAAATTAGGTTAGTAGTCATTTTGGAGATACTTCTGAAGACTAGAAATGATAGACTAATCTAATAAAACCCGGTTCTTTCAATTTGAAATTGACTATGTAACTGTGGCTTTGTTATTATAGGCAGTAAGTTATTAACGTCATCGATCTAGTTTTATTTGTTGCATTATGAATTCTAGAAATTAGTTTGTGAAAACATAGTTCGTGAAAATATTGGGAGCTAGAAAAGGTAAAAACGCGGGGATGATCCGACGTGACGAACACTGTAACATTTATTTAGAAAAGCTTGCCAAAAGGCAAAATGTAACAATTTGTTTTCTCTTGTGCTCCTACGTATGTTTTACGTATGTTCTAGTAGAATATGAAAACTTTTCTTCCATATACATTAACATTGTGCAACAAATTTCATGTCTGAAACTAAATAATTTTTATTCTCAGGAAAAGTAGTAAAAAATCTGTATTAAAGTGGCTGTCTTAATTAAAAGGTGCAAAATACAACATATGTATTTCTTCTACATCTTAAAAATTAACTATGGGGGAAATAATGTCCTATTATGTGACTATAATATAATAAAAAAAGGCTAATACATGGGCAATGTTTGAAACTAAAGTTTTAGTGACTCCACGGTGACATACGAGTGGACAGCTCGAATCGTTTTGTGACTCCATGGGGACATATTAGTGAATAGGGTTAATATCCGCCTAAATGTATCCTAACCAACATCGTGCACCTCATTAAGTAAAACATCGTTGTACTTTTATATTTACTGCATATACTGTTCTAATATGCACAGTTCCTGACTATCGAATTAGGACCATGTACGAAAATTTCACTTTTACGGCTATAACATTATATTATATATGAAAAGTTGTCTTAGGTCATGCAAAATTATTACTAAATACGTTCATAACAATTTGTTACTATCGCGAAAATAAATTTTCTGGGTGATGTGCGATTAAGAGCCGTGCAAGCGTTTACGTTAGGTTCGAGTATCGATAGCGCGCGTTTAGGCCCGCTATTAAATTTTAGAATTTAGATCCATAGCGAAGGGTCAGACCTTAATTTCTTTACCTATAGCAGCAATAACACCCAAGGAGTCGTTACATTGTATCGAGTATTTTAGTTTATTGCCTTACATCTGATTGCCAGAACCTTAAGCTTAACAGTAGAGTCCGTTATTTTCAGTTTCTATTCATGTCGAGGTACTGCTTGGTTTTATTACTTGCTATGGTAATTTTTTGGGAAAAAACCCATGTTCTTCATACGTCACAAGCTTCCATTTCCACCCCATTTGTACAGCCAATAGAAATGAAGTATTTCTCCCTCACCCTCACCATGTAAAAACTGTAAGCATGTAACGTACTTTCATGTTCATAAGAAAAATTCATTCGCCTCTCAACATTCGTAATAGTAACAACTTGTATTAGTTTGTATAGTCTCCAAGTTTTGGAGTGCTTCTTCGAGTAAGGAAATAGTTTATAGACTTTACAATAAACACAAATTTAGTCGGCACACCACGTGCAATATTCACCAAAACTCGAAAGAATTTATTTCAACCACGAGCGTTAACAGCGCGTCAGATGAAATTTTAATGCCATAGAAAATGTCTGTCTACTCAAAAGACTAGATTAGAACTCTCCAACCACATTATTTGAGTTGAAAAGAATTATACATATTTGGGAAAATAATCAAGATATAAAGTATATGATCAATGTATACGGAGTATGCTGGATACAAGCTGCGACCAAATTAAAGGGTGGAAAAACAAGATATTAACACGAGTTAATAACGTTACATACAGTAGTAGTGTATCATAGTAGTTGCTAATAAATTATATAATTATAATTTGAACAAGTCTTTTTATTATACGGAAAATGTATAAAATGCTAAAAATAGTGGGGTAAATTCGTATTTAAGATAGGTGAAATTAGTTAATCGATCTTTTCACAAACGTCATAGAAAATCGTCTTGCGCTACAAAACTTGTATTCAGAATTAGTATACTAAACGTATTTCCATATATGTTTATTTAATCAACAGACTTATTTCATTATTTTGTTATTATTTCTGCAAAATAACAGGATGATTAAAAGAGATCCTATTTAAATTCGGAGAAGTATAAGACCTTCATAAATATTGCACGGTATTTTATATTTTTCGAAATTTTTGCGACCCGACCATATTGCTTTATTATTTTTCCTATTACATGTATATTATTCATGAAAAAAGCAATACATCAAAATTCATGAAAAAGTAGTACTTCAGAAAGTTTACCAAAAACTCATATGTAGATGAACTGACGCACAGTAAAGTATTTGCATTAAAAATGTGGAAAAAATGCTACATTAAAATATTTTCATAGTGAAGAAATTATGTGTTAGAAGTTAGCTGAACATTTGGACTGCATCAATAGAAACATTTTTCACATTCTGTAATTTTTAATGTGGCTAGGCTATTATACAGGTTATTTGAAATAAAAATCATAGTTTAAAATTTTGTTAGTTAAAATCAATTGTCAAGAAATGGAATTATGTGTACCTGGAATATATTATACTTGGATTTCACCGAACTTCACTTTGATATCATTGTTACTTTTCAAGTTGTATTTCATTAAATATGTTCCACTTTCATTCTTCATTTTAATTATGAGTTCTATGAATTCTCATTTAAGAAAAAGAAGCCTTATGCTGCTCATGAGACAAAGGTTAGCTGCTATTGGATATTATAGGAAAAGCTGCAGGGGTAAGGTCTTCCTTTTATTTCTAAAAATGGCCTGCTTGCTATTATAATTGGAAATATTTTTACATAGGAGGAAAGAGTTACAAAGTGTATACAAGCCACCAAAAAAGTAAACCAAAATCATGCAATAACAATTTTTTATTTTCAACTTTGCGTTCGGGAAAATTAAGTTTAAAAATTCTTTGATGTATTTGTAAAAAAAGGATTTTTACGGCAAAAATGATTACAGTTTGTTCATATCTGACTTCAACAATTAACAGATATTATAAGCTACTAAATTCTGCTAAAATGTATCTACTATTATTCAGTATGCTTCACGTAGAATTAAAATATATGGTCTGTCCCAAAAGTAATGCAATTTGTTTATTTCCGGCATTTTTTCCTGGGCCGAACGTGTTCGAACTTGTTGGGATATGTGAAGGGGACTCTTATCTTTATATGTTTGCAACCTCAATCTGATCTATGCTCCGAAATCGTAAGAATCGTTGTAAACGTAAACCTATTATTAGTGCCCATGTCACGACGCGTAATGGAGAAAAATATCGAACAACGTTATGCGAGTAAACTCTATGCTACACTAAATAAAAACCACGCCGAAACCAACCAAATAATTAAGGAGGCATACAGGAATTCTGCTCTTTCCTACTCTCAAGTTTCCAGGTAGTTGAATTTGTTCAAGAACGGTCGGGAAAATGTGGAAGATGACTTCCGCTCTGGACGGCGGACAAACATCAGAATTGACGAAAATGATTCCCGTGTCCAGCAAACATTTACTAGGACACTATTAACTTCTTAATAGTGATCAACGAATGAGTGTTGCAATGATCGTAGATCGAAAAGAAATTACAGCTACGTGGCAGCTGCACCACGACAACACTCCCAGTCACACCGCTTTGCACGCCCAAGAATTCTTAGCCAAGCACAGCTTGATAACGTTGCCACAGCTTCCTTACAGTCCTGACATGGCTCCAGTAGATTTTTTCCTGTTCCCGAGGATCAAGTCTGCCCTCAAAGGAATGCATTTTGGAACCATAGAAGCGATTAAAACCGTCGTGACAAACGCATTATACGTGGTTCCCATTAACGCCTTCCAGGATGCGTAGCGTGCATGGAAAAGTCTCTGGCAAAAGTGTATTGATAGCCAAGGAGTGTACTTTAAAGAATTTTAAAGGTTTATAGCAATAACATAAATAAATTTCTTTTTACGTATCTAATTACATTATTTTCCGGACAGACCATGTACAATGGATTTAATCGTAAACGTGACATGCATCTATGTGCATAAATTTTAATGACCCTCTGACGCTTCAATTCTTTTAATCTTGACATTTTCTGTAGAAAAAACAATTCTTTGGTCATTTCATGACCTACGACAGATTTAAGAAGTTTTAACTAAATTTCATGAACTCTAGTTTTAGCCTCAACTTTTCTAAGGCGCAAATAAGTAGCACCTCGAGATCGTAATTAAATTTTAAGTACACTATATTAAAATTTCACTTTCATTCTCCTTGGCCTTAATTTGTAGATACGGAATTAAAATTTCGACTAGTGCATTAACTGTGATCTATAATGTTCATTAATTATTAGATTAATGAAAAAATAATTTGAATCATCTCTGTTATAAGCAAATTTAATTATAAAAATTTTAAAGAATCTTCGAACTTAATTTTCTGGAAAACAAGGTCGCAGACAAAGGATCATTATTTCATATTTTCGGTTTATTGTTCACAAGGAATGCGTTCATTCCCGGTTGTATTACCCGCTTTGTAACATTCTATGGAATTTGCGGACCCAATTTAAATTAGAGAATCTTAAATGAATGGTTAAATTCATATAAAAACCGTTGATCTACAAAAACAATAAATTTTCTAATCTTCTTATTAATTTTTAAAGAATTTATTGCATTTATTTACTTCATAATATACACTATTTTTTAAACCGTCTTTTTATAGTAATTCAATTTGCTGTCTAATTGTAAGATAAGTAGGATCTCCTTTAAAAAAATCATGTTCATACGGATTGTTTGTCGAAATTGTTTTTAAATTAATTTTTTATACATTCGGGTTATGTTTAATGACCATAATCCGAAAGCTCCGTTTAGTTCATCTAATACATTGTATATGTACAGTTACAGTCCTTACAATTGATTTTATTGACAAGACTATTTTGCTCAAATCTATTGACAGTCTAAATAAGTGATGGGTTTAAAAACCACATTTAACATGAAATTTTTTTCGACATTTTTATT